GAGAAGATGGAACATATTCTACGAGACAGGACCACATATCGTATATTAAACAAGGACTCAACTATGAAGATCAATAGAATCGTAAATGGCACGCTGAACGATATGCATAGGAATGGGCAAATTGACGCATGGACAATAAATTTAATCATAAGAAAGGATGCACGACTACCAACAGCATACGGATTACCGAAGATACACAAAAAAGGCGAGCCACTAAGGCTGATAGTCAACAACAAGTATGGAGCAACACACAAACGGGAAAAGTTTATATGTATGAAGCTCAAGAAATTAAATGAGAGGCTATTTAACACGGTGAAACATTCATATGAATTTTCTCAAAAAATCAAAAACATGGCACTTGAAGAAACAGACTTATTGGTAAGTTTAGATGTGGAATCGATGTATACAAATATGTCTGGAGAGAATGCACTAACGGCCCTACTGGAAATGCTGGACCGAGAGAAGGATATTCTGGAAAAACAACGGATTGGTAGGGAGTCTTTAACAAGACTAATCAACTTTACATTAAGGACAACCTATTTTACATTCAACTGGAACATCTATGAACAAATATTTGGACTTCCCATGTGATCGCCGATCTCACCACTTTTGGCAAACGTATACATGAACATAATAGAAGAGAGCTTCAAGACGGCACCGCTACAACCGGCAGTGCTCATGCGGTACTTGGATGATTACTTCGCACTTTGGTCACATGGAAGAGAAAAACTTGAAGAGTTTCTAAAGTTTGTAAACCAGATAGATGGAAAAATTCAATTCACGATGGAAGTAGAGGAAGGTAAGCGGTTACCGTTCCTGGACGTTGAAATGATTCGTTTTAATGGGACGCTCAAAAAGAAATTGTTCAGAAAGAAGTCCTATGTTGGGATAATACTCAATTTCAGGTCCCATAACAATTACAAGCTGAAGATTGGAATAATGAGGAGAACGATCATCCGAAGACTCCGCTTAACGTATGTAGAATTCTGGGACGAGGAGCTGGATAAATTGACTAGGATCTACCTCGGCAACGGCTAGCCGTGAAAAGCGAATGGCAGAATGTGACTATGAAAGAACAGTAAGGACGATGAAGGATTCACCAAAGTGGATATGCCTACCTCCCTACGAACGAACTCAAAAACTAC